TAAGGAGAAGAGCTCCGGGGAAACAGCTGCCAAACAGCGCAAGTACTACGCGAGAGGCGATATACGAGGCTCTGAGGCGCCGGAAAGAGGGGAAGGGAAAGGGTGGTAGGTAGGGAAACGCGGCCGCCTTGGCGAAATGAGCGATCAGAGAGGCATTGGCGATGAGCGCATTATCAAGAGGCAGGGGTCGAGTGAAGGAAAAGGGAGAGGAATGAAGGAAGAAGTCGAGAGTACAACAAAGCGACGTCAGAGAGGATCGGCTCGTATTTATGTTGCGGGCGCAGCCGGGCCGTGCGAGCACGCGAGTCTGACGTAGCGCTATACCCGATCGGGAGGGGCGCCAAACCCGGCGGGTGCAACAGCGTGTTCTGCATTACAGATAAAAATGAACATGGAGCAACGTGTATTCCAAAAAGACAACCTAAGTACCTATCCAAGTGCGACTTCAAATATCAGTACAGCCTGGAGGCCAGCCAGAAGCCTCAACACGATTCATCTGCCATTAACGGGAGGCGGCACATCCTCATGGCAAGCAAAGCAAGCTAGGGAATCCAGCCAGTGTTACCGTCATTCACGACGAAGCATGACGCCGTGAGATGGAGGGTCACGTTGATCTTGAGCCAGTTGAATCGCGCTGCTGTCCAAGTAGCCCAGCGAGACCAGATACTGGATATACTCCATGGTCCACTCCTGGCAGCGTTTGTTGGTCACCTAGGAAACGATTGACACCGACGCCGGAACGAATGGTACCTGTTGGCTCGTCTTACAAGGGGCACTACTTAATAGTGCCCCTTAAATGCATATGAAAGAAAAGTCAATGGTTACACAAACGGAACACTTACACCATCAACAGGAGCTCTGACATCGCTCTGGCCAGGTGCAGGCACTTGGAGAGCCGCCGCGTCGAGAGACCCGAGGGCGACGACGTCGGTGGAGAAGGCGCTGGAGCTGGGATCGACATGAAGCGATTCCTGAATATATCCCAGGAGAACCACCGTTCCCAGCGATTTCGACGCGTATGTGTTGTAATTGCGTTTGAACTCATGAAAGAACCCAGCCATAGGGTTGCCGACGACGTGGATAACAGTCCCCTTGCAGGTCTCGGTTTTGGAAGGTGTCTTGCCCACATCCGAAGCATTGGGAACGAAGATGGCAAAATGACCGCGGGTTCTGGACGTTCGCCCATACACGAAAAGATAGACGGGACGGGAAGACATTTCTGCTTGTTGTGAGAAAGCTCGAAAACGAGGCGAAAGGATGATAAACCAAAAAGGGCGAATAGCTTGTCTTTAGTCAGGGGTGAGACGAAGGTGAGGTCAACGGACGTGAGATGGTGAAGAGCTTAGGCCTAATATATCCTTCTTCTCCCAGAGACATTGTGATATAACCTCCCCCATTTCGATATTGAGGCGCGCTGGCTAGCCTTGCACTCCCCAGTCTCTCCACCCTCATCAATCATAAAGGTATTCTTAAGCGCATGCGCGGGGCATCCGGGTCGAGGGACGGGCTTCCGTGGGTATAGCGTGGGCTACATGTAGAAGTTGGAACCAACTCGGTGTGAGAAGTGAAGGCGGCATACCCTGGTTGTGGAGACTCTTGAACCAACGACTCAAGGTTGAAAGAAGATTCGGCCAAGCGATTTCCTAGTTAAGAAGCTCCGAGAGGCGCAGACAGACAACACTTCCTGAGGAGTTGAGCGTGTGATTTTCCTAACTACCCTACCTTAGTACAATCTTACCTCATTTTGCTTTTTATCGCCGATGTGCATACATCTGTGAATCATTACCGGTGCCAAGAGGAGATCATCGAAGTACTACTTCCGTACGGAGTAGTAGTTTCTGGAAATCATTCAACAGTGTTGGCTGTTGCTCTTGGGTGTACCCTGCCGGTTTGTTCATCAGGTCTAGGGCCTGGGTGGGTCGCAGGACGCTCTTCACACCTCTGGATTAGAAACTCCAGTCGGCTTGAGGTGGACGTGTAGAAGTAGAGCCGCGCGCTCAAAGAGAAGCGATGGAATTGGACTGTTGTCGGCACTGGGGTGGGCTGTTGTCAGGGCCAACGCTCCGCCCCACACACTTACCGCCTGCCAGACTGCCCCGATTTCCAGTCGTATCCGTAATTACATTGAGGTCCCTCTTCAACGGCCCTACGCTATTCGTCTCGTGCTTCTGACTCCTTTGTCCCCTTCGAGCCTTCAATCCTGGCGCTTCAACTGGTTCCAGCCTACCCGTTGGTTGAGCGGCTCAAGAGTTGAGACAGGGGCCCTGAGTGGATATGAAGCACGAGCCAATGGGTATCCGTTGGAAGTACCACCCAGGGCACGAGCCGCAGAGTGGCCTGTGAGAGTCTGAGCCGGAAATCACCGCTTCCTACGCGCTTACCTGGATAAATTGGCTCTGGGGAGCCGCTGAGGAATGAGGGTGAGTTTCAAATTTTCAACCACAATTGATCAATCCATCTGAACTTCTAAAGATAAAAGTTACATCCCACTACGGTAGGCGATTCGCCCTGGGCTTATGCCTTACTGGGTGTTCACAAACAGCACCTCAATTCAAACCCACAAGTTACAACTGAGATTAGCTCGGGGCCGCTTATTTCCTACACCCTAACCCTAAGACGGTTTTCACTGTGGCACAATACCTGCAGCCTGCAGCCTTCCCGCTCGACGTGGGCACTTGGAGTCTTGGAGTCTTGAACTCAAGATCTTCCAGCTACCATCGTGATACACCCGACTAGGTATAGCCCATTCAAACAACATGGGAAGTTTATCCCCGCGCGGAGCGCCGAACCTGCTTGCAACGCCGAACCACGAGCGGTTCACGAGGCTGCTGTGTCAACTTCCTGACATATCTTCGCTGCCCGAGTTCGACTTCCTTGATTCGTCCTTCTTTCGCGACCTAGGGAGTGACCCAGGGTCCTCAACTCGTTGCCGTGAGTTGCCGAGCCCAGAAAAAGTCCTCGCAGCAAGCGGACGTTCCGAAGGAATCTGGCACTTCGCGGAACTGGGTGTCCTGGTCAAGTACGGCCACAAAAGTCAGGTTCACTTAGAAGAGGCCCTAGCACTCCGTGTCATCAACAAGTTGTTTCCAGTGGCCGAAGTCCCCGCGCCAGAAGTATTTGGGTGGAAATCCACCGATAAGGCTGGGGATGAATCTCACTTCATCTACATGAGTTTTCTACCTGGTCAAAATCTGGGAGAAGTGTGGGACTCTCTGACGGGAGACGAAAAATCGGCTATATCGCGCCAACTAGGACTGATTGTGAACCGCCTGAGAGCGGTTGAGCAAGACCCCAATGACCAATTCATTGGTAAGCACTGACGTTCCTGTTCATAGTTGAATCATCATCTTTTCTCACACTTTTCATAGGCTCCGTGAACCGGGGGGCCGTCCAGGATACATATTTCAGTCCCCATCACCACCACGGCCCATTTACCAGCGCCCGAGACTTCCACAATTTCGTGCAGTTTGTTTCCGTATATATGGTCCCTGTTGCCGAACGGCCACCAGAGCCGTACCGGGCGATGCTGCCGGATACCGCGCGGATATGTCTGACCCACGGGGATCTTCATCTTGGCAACATACTCGTCATTATATCATCGGATGAACCACGACAAGTTAGGATCTCGGGGATCGTGGATTGGGAGCAAGCAGGCTGGTACCCGGAGTATTGGGAGTACTGCAAAGCCATGATTATTGGGCCATACGGTGATGAATGGCGGGATGCTGGATTCATACATCTTGCCCTCCCGGCGTACGAGCCCGAGTTTGAGGCTTTCGAACAATACTGGAGTTGGAAGTGCCCTTGACAACTTCAAGCTAAGGTTTATGATCTGGCTGACGTGGGTTTGCTTATTTCTTTTGATATCCACAAGCCCGTTCCTCGCCATCTGGGAGATGGTGTGGAAGAAATGCAGCAACAAGGAGGAGAAAATGTTCAGCAGTTCCCGGCAGTGCGGTGGTACGCTAAATGGTTCTGATCGTCCGAGCATCTAAGGTTGAGACTTGTCGGCGTTTATGGTTCCTCGCTTTGAGTTTCTCTCCAGTCCGCCGTCTTTGTCGGGCGGTGGATGGTGTTGGCAAACCTGCTGCCCCTGGCCGGTGATGCCTGGTGTCCGGGATCGCTCCAGCACATCGAGGCTGGGAGCACCCGGGCCCTGAGCACAATTTTTCCGGTTGCCGGACTCTTGAGTCTGAAGAGCATGAACCTCACTCTGTTATGCTTAGGTATCTTTCCAAATACCAATGCATTATCTCGAGTGTATGTTGCCGCTTCAGGCCTCAGTGGTAAGGCAGTTTTTTTTCCCAACACAGGGTGAACGGCGCACACAGCAAGAAAAGTAACACCGCTCTCCGTGCTTGAATCATGCTTGGCGAATGATAAAACACGCCTAACCATGTGTTCCTGTTGGTAGGGTAGCACTTTTCTAGTAGTGCCCACACCTGTGTGGCAGTGTTGGTTCAGAACAGCCTTGCGCTGCACACCTCACACGTACTGTTAGTGAGGCCGCCTTGGGGAATACCTGGCCAGTCAGCTGCAGTTGTACTTGTAGCTGTTATCACTTGCATTAGCTTCTTCCATTCACTTTTCTCGCACGATCCAGATCTAATACCTCAATATGATTTCACTTCCCAAAGTTGTGGGACTGCCTGTTACCCTGGCACAGAAGTTACTGAAAGTCTGAACCCCGTCCCGTCTGTTTTCATTCCCGGTTCTGAATTTTGATGACAATCCTTGATCCATGAAACCTGGCCTGGTTTCTGCCTCCCTGCTAGCCATACTGTTGCCAGCTTTGGGTACGTCGAACAATTCTACAACAAACTCCACCGAGTCTCAGGACTCAAAACACCAACAGCCGCCGCAAGGTGTCACAACCGGCTGGCAGGCCGAGCCAAATGGCCGTGGAACTTTTTCCTTGATATTTTCCTGTGTTCTGACACTCACCCTTTGTGTCTGGTCGGCGCTGCACCTCAATGTTCCCCCTCTACATCGACCGTTGCGGTGGCGCTTTATCGAACAAGCCAAATGGGTCCTCTACGGCGTGTTTGCCCCTGAAGTGGTTGTTGCCACAGCTGCCGCCCAGTTCATTGTAGCTTCGTGGCTGAAGCGAGAGATTCAAGCCGATGCAAAGGCGCGGCAGGAGGACGGGGATGCCGAGAGTAAATCCCGCGGCCAAAGCACTCACGCTTGGGACATGACGCAGTGTTTCTACGCTGCCATGGGAGGTTCGCTGCGAACGTGCCTGGGGTTGAGAAGACGGTTACCGTCACACCCGAGGGCATCCGATTACTCTCGTTTCTTGGTCGGTTGCCGCAGATTGACCAGCCTCAGATCGAAGACAAGAGCAAGGCCGACTGGATGGCCAAGAGCATCATCTGCGTACAGGCGGGATGGATGGTGATCCAGGTTCTAGGAAGGGCCATCAAGCACTTGCCCATCTCCCTGCTCGAGATCAACACCTGTGGACATGTCGCCTGCGCCTTGGTCATCTATCTCCTGTGGTGGAACAAGCCGCTCGACGTCCAGGTGCCGACCTTCCTGAACGACGAAGACGATAAGGACCTCCTCTGTCTGATGCATCTGTGTTCCAGTATGAGCTCTGTCGACGGAATCACAGATATTCGATGTTTCGTTCATGTAGCAAACGACGACGATGAGAGACTCTGCAAGCCGCCCACGGACAGGGAGAGCGCGGCCGGGGAAGGGACAGGAGCGACAAGGTCTCAACTCACAACGTATCTCTCCATCGGTTCCCCAGGCACCCGAAACCCGTCTCACTTCCTCGGCTTCCCTGAAGTGTGGTTAGAACCAGACCCGGGCCAAGGCACCAAGAACCCACACGCCGCAGCCAAAAACAATGCATTCCGTTACAATTTCGACCTCAACTCTCCGCCAATCTCCGCGAGTTGCTCTACCTACGGCACTCCCCCCTACACCGGCATGAGCCTTCGGCACAGCCGATACTGCCGACGCGTCTTCCCAGACGCCTCCAAGTCCACCTCCGCAGAACAACAACCCGACCCTACTAGTAGTCAACCGCGGCTCTCAACATCAACCCTCCTAGCAGCCTCGCGCGCGACAGACCGCCTCCGCGCTGCATGCACATCACGCCCGGCATACAAGGCGTACTACTTCACATTCGTACCACAACTGGGCCACTTCCTGGGCGAGACCGACTACGTCGTGTCGCCACGCCTGCCCAACCTCCCCTCGCTGCACAACCTGTCCCTGGGGCAGGTCAACCTGCACCGCGACCGACTGCGGTCGGTTCTGGCGCTGGCCGCGGCCGGGTACGGCGCTCTGCATGTGGTCACGACCACCGTTCCGTCGAATTCGGAGGTGAATCATGAAGCGTTGTTCCCGACGGGGGTGGAAAGGGTCTTGTGGCTCGTCTCGGCGGGCGTTATTGGCGTGTCTGGGATCGTGCTTTGGGGCTTCTTTGCCGCACGTCAGTTCTGGCTGGGTTTTGATGTGTGGGTTTCGGGCGGCGTGCCGGGGGTCAGGATTGGGGGTGGAAAAGGGGGTGTAGGGAGGCGGGAGAGGGTGAAGACGGTGGTGGTGTATCTTGTGCTTGGGACGTTCGTGATAGCAAGGGTGTTTCTGGTTGTTGAGGCGTTTGTGAGCTTGCGGAGGGCACCGGTCGAGTTGTATAAGACGCCGGAATGGACGGATTTTCTTCCTCACTTTTGACCTTCTGCTGAGTCTTTACATCAGGATACATATTACAGGATACCTAACTCCATCTTGATCAGAATAGACTAGGTACGTGTGTGGCACCCCTAACTTGAACTGGACGTCGACTTCAATCTTTTATACTACTAACATCTACTGTTACAGTTCGTCATCTGAGATGTGGTGATATATTCCGGGATAACATGCATTGCGTTAGCCGTTAGGCTTCTCAGGAGAGAAATGGTAGCTACCTACCTACATGATTAGCAACCTGAATTACAAGAGCGATGTCTCCGCACCCTCAGGCTTCGGGAACAGTGGTGTCAGTCCAGCACCCTCAGGCTTCGGGAACAGTGGTGTCAGTCCAGCCTCGATGCACTCCCAGTACTCCTCGAGTAGGGCGTACTCAACTGCTTTCTCAAGACTTTTAGCTACGTGCCACGGTCTGAGTGGGGGGTCGAAGTCGTGGACAGTCAGTCCCCGTTCGTTAACGTCAACGCGGATACTCCGCCGACGGCTGTTCGGTGAGCGGACAATAGGGTTCTGGTCGGTATCCCCTCCAAATCCAATGTCAGCGCCGATCATGTAAACTGTCCGAGGGAAAGGGCGGTTGGCGGGGTGCAGGCTTCGGTTGCACACATTCAACACCTTGTCAGCAGTATGGATTGTCAGGCCATCGCACCCCATGCCACAGGCATTGTATTCGAGCGGTAATCCGCCTGTTTCTGATCGCCACCTCTTCAGGAGGGTGTCAAACCAGGTCTTGCCACCCCTGACAACGGGTTGATGTCCCGCTACAGATGTATCAGCCATACAAACATACAATGTTGGCTGCGTGTCGAAGAAGCGTTCGTCAAGAAGTCCTTCGTAGCGAAACGCAACACGCCCCTGGTCGGAAAGTAGCATGTCGATAACCGTGCGAGTATCCCGATCCCAATCATTGGGAGCCCAGAACACGAAGATCGCCGAGACGATTTGTCCCCAATGTTTCCGGCTAGCAATATCTTTGCATGTAATAACATGGTCGAATCCATAATTGAGAGCGTATCGGCGAACTTTCTCCTCCTGGCCTCCGACAGCGAGTATGGTGCGGCCTCTGTAGGTGCTGGCAAAGGTTCTGAATGGTGACTGGGGCAGGATAATGCATTCCCGATCGACACCAAGACCCAATTCCACCGACAGCCATCGCGCAACTTCTGTTTCGGTAAACTTAGTTTTCGTCGTTGCGATCACAAAGGGGATGCTACTGTTCTGGAGGCGACAGATGGTCTCCCTCGCACCAGCAGCAGGAATATAGTGGCCAGAATCTGTCCAGTTCAAGATGGTACTCAGGTCAATTACAAACCCGACTGTGGCTGTATTCCGCTTTTCGTTAGCATCCATCGTGACTGTGGCACTTCCGTACCCTGGGTGAGATCCGGACCGGGAGGGGGAATTTAGCTAGTGCAGACGAACCCTAAGAAAGAACCCGGACAGTTGTTGAAAGAGGCGAGCTCGCAGCAGAGCTGATCTCAGTCATTGGCATCGCCGTCAAAGTTTGTATTTATATGTGAGAGAATGACAATGGAGGCTGGGGCTTTTTTCTTTCTGTGGTCGGAGCATCTCTGAGGAAAGGAAACTCAACTTGTTCGACGCAGAACAATGAGATAAAGAGATCATCTCCTTCGCAATCAGGCCAGGAGACAAGTATTGTACCTGCTGTTAGTGCAGCCTGATTTGTTGTGTCTGAAAATTGTCCTGCCGACTACCCCTCTTAACGGACGGGAACTTCACTCAGGAACGGAGTATTCGACTCACTCGTGCCTTACCGTTTCTCAATCCCGGTAGGTAAGGTACCTAGCCATTAGGGAATGGTCGGCTTTGTCCCAGATTCGTTTCAGGCGAACAAAGAGTAAGGTAAGTAGGATGACACCGACAACCGACAGATAACTTCAGATCGAGACTCTAAATGGATCGGCTGTACGGACCGCCATGGGTATATAACGTCTTGACTGTCCAGCGTTGAACGATAAGGTACCTTAGGGAACTTACCCTAGTAAGGACAAGGTGAATAGTACTTCATGGTACCGGCGTTGGGTTCATTTGATCATTTCCATGTTCAACACCCGAAGCTGCTTGTCATCTCTACCATCATCATGTAATAGAGTCCCTCCTCAGGATGGAAATTGCAGAGGGCTCTGAGGCGCTGTAGTGCCAGGCAGGCTCGAGGCAGGCAGGTGAAATGTTGACGTCATGATCCGGTTACATTGGCAGTAACAAGTCCGTCACGACTCACACATAACAAATGCGCATCCAACTCAGTAATCGGTTTATGGTAGTTGCCTACACAAGAAAATTAGGAGTCGATCTTGAAGGTCTCATTGACAACTTTCAGAGCCACAGACAACATTGACCAGACAACATCATCTCCATTCGTAACGACGCCTAAACAAACCAACATGTCGGAACACTTCAGCAAGGGCGGCAGCTTTCAGGCTGTCCCACAAAAGGCCCAGTCTCAGAATTTGCCAGGGTATGGATGGATACATATCACGCTGATGCTACCAGTTGTGGTTTGCGGTTATCACTGACTGCTGACTTTCAAGACTCGAGAAAAACATGGAGCCGTCCAGCGAGTCAACCAAGCTGGAGGGAGCCGGCGAGGCCTACGAGTACGCAGCGGCGGGAAAACTGAAGGGCTGCAAGGCATTGATCACCGGAGGCGAGTAAGTACAGGCTACAGAGGATCCCCGTAATCAAATGCATCATGAGTAAGGTATCCGTTCTAACTCGACCAGTTCTGGCATTGGGCGGGCAGTCGCCGTGCTTTTTGCCCGGGAGGGGGCCGATGTCAGCATCGTCTACTTGCCAGAGGAGCAGCCCGATGCCGAGGAAACAAAGAAGATGGTAGAGAAAGAGGGAACCAAGTGCTTGCTCATCCCCGGCGACCTCATGGACTACAGCAAATGCCGGGAAGCAATCCAGAAGCATGTCGACGCTTTTGGCGTCATTCACGTCCTGGTCAACAACGCCTCCAAACAGATCATGTGCGAAGATTTCGCGGAGATTGATCTCGACAACGTCGAAAGCACCTTCCGCAGCAACATTCTGCAGATGTTCGCCATGACCAAATACGCCCTGCACCACATGAAAAAGGGCGCATCGTAAGTCATGGCCCCTGGAAGCTCTTCGTCGCTAGAGAACCAGACATTGATAACGACCATCACATTCTAGCATCATCAACACGACCTCAACGGTAGCTTTCCGCGGGACGGCGTCCATGGTCGACTACGCAGCCACCAAGGGTGCCATCGTGTCATTCACGCGGTCCCTCGCCAAGAGCCTGATGCCCAAGGGCATCCGTGTCAACGCCGTGGCGCCTGGGCCCGTTCATACCCCCCTACAGCCCGCCTCTCGTCCTGCCGAACAGATGGAAGGGTTCGGTTCCAAGTCGGGCATCGGACGCATCGGCCAGCCGAGCGAGATTGCCCCGAGTTTTGTGTTTTTGGCTTCAAAGGACTCTGAATTGTACTACGGCCAGGTGCTGCATGCTTATCCTCTGGGTGACTGAGCCAGGAAGGCGGTCATAGACTCATAGGGGGTTTGTTAGCATGAGACTACTAACCTACCTTAGACTTGGAGCACATGGAATAGTAGGCAAGAAGGGGAGAATGAAACAAGGTTCTATTAAAGATAAACTACTGCCCTGACCACGCCGTCATATACTATCTTCTATCTGCGTCCCATCATTACCTAGACTCGTCTTTCTCCAGTGCAACGAAATTATGTGTCCAATCTACAGGTTATCCCAAACCACATCCAGTCTGCTTCTGACTCGTTCTTTCCAGATTAAGTATTCTTGGAATTGCTGGAGCTCCACTCTGCTACCAAACCCCCCCCACCCCGAGCGACATCCTTGGCAGTTGCCATTCCCGTCGACACGCGTTGCCCTCTTGACACTTGCCCGTTTTCCGCGCTGTATTTGATTTGTCGCTTTGCACTGCAGGCAAAGAGACATCAGCATGCCCACCCCAGCCGTCCGCTCGAGAACGCCGAGTGGGCAACGAGCAGGGCCGCAGCAAACGGCAAATGCAAGTCTAGCCTCGACTTCGAACCCCCGAGCAGCCCCTGGTCGTCGAATGCGGGTGTTCTGCCTCCTGATTAGACAGAGCGTACTCCGAACCAGCCAGCCCTCGAACCGCCAGACCCACGTCGTCCGTCGTCACCGACTCCAATTCTTGCTGCCCTAAGACCCAAGAGAACGGAGAAGTAGCCGTCTAGACCTTGATACTTCGATTCCCTCCTCCGGTCCTTCAATTCACAATGCTGCCCGCCAGCTTACGGCGGCTCCTCGTTGGCCTCTGCTTTGTCACATGCGTCGGCGCAGATGCCGGAGATGATTTCTCCAACAACTTGTTCTCCGACCTCGCCCCGTACGCGCTGCAGTCTGTCCATTGCAATCTGTGCGGAGATATGCTGACCTTGAGCCGCGCGGCATCTAGCCTACTGGCCCTGTTTGGAGAGAGGGTCACCACGCAGTTCATGAGCCAGTCTATGGGTTGGGCCGACAACATTGTCCTGGCCATGGCCCCACTGGGCGTAATCACCGCTATCGTCGGTGCCATCCGAGTCGGCGGCCCGTCGTGGCTCAAGGCCATCATCGGAAGGGCAAGGGAGAGCCGTGCCGTCGTTGAGGCCGAGCTGATGTCCTCTACCTCGAATGAAGTGTGTGAGCTCTGGAACGGCCAGCAAATCGTCAGGGTAATGGGAGAAGGGCCGATTCGGGAATTCATCATCCTGATGCCCAAGGAGGGTGAGAACGGGAACCAAACGAGGACGGCAATGACTCCAGAGGAGATGCCGATAAAGAAACTAAACGATGCCGTTCTCTCCAAGCCAGGAATTGCCACGGATCCCAATAGCTTCGACAAATGGTACTATTTGACAAAATACAGTGAGTACCCTGACCTACATTTACTCCCTCTCTCTTACTTTATCGCCAGAGCCCGTAATTCTAGAACGCATATTCGGCAGCTACTACCAGAAAAGTCAAGGTTCTTCCCAAACTAAGAAACGTCCCACTGGAGTGAGAGTCCGGGAAGTTCATCAATTGACCCCCTCCCCCCCCCCCCCCCGCGATCAGACTCTGCCGGCCGAGGCAGCCTGCTCGGCAAGCGTGTTCCTAATGACCAAGAGGACCCAGAAAAGCCCTGCCAAATGCCAAGGCGCAGAAAGTTCGTAGCAGTTCGAACTCCAAGAAGCCTGACAAAGATCTCGATCTAGAACTATATAAACGTCCAGTCGCCGTCATTCGAAATACGAACGCCGACACACCCAACCTCACCCTCAACGTTCACAACCAAGTGGGCAGAGGGGAGCTTTACGTGGTTTCCATATGCGGCATTGTCCTTCAACTTGGTGTCCTCGTCTACTCAGGACTTACCGCCTATCATGCCAACTCTATGCTGCTCAAGGATGGAAACGCCGTCGCAGGCTACGCCTTTCCGTGTACCGCAACCGGCACGCTGCTCTTGGTAGCCGGCATATTTATCTGTGCCCACGTCGTCGAAAGCAGTACGTCGGAAACGAGATATCGCCCTTGGGACGGGATGGAAGCTCGAGTTGTCTGGCTGCAGAAACATGGAACCGTGAACGACCAGGCTTTCCTGTCCTTTGCAATATTCCCAGAGACGGCGCAACCCCTGGTTACAACTTCACACCGGGCTAGCGAGAGAACAATACCGGGATTCTACAAACATTTCATAATGCCCGCCCTGGTAGTCAACGAACGAGAAGCCATCACTGTCGCTGGTACAATGGTCAGCATTTGCGGCTTCGTCGTGCAGTTCATCGGTTTACGCGGCATGCATTGGTCAGCGTCCGTTGCCCAGCTTGGCGCAACTATCGTCATGACCACTCTCAGAGCAGCAGTTCGTCGCAATCTCGCAAAAAATCCGAAGGCACTACCTCTCGTTCGCGACCATGAACTGGATTGGTTGGCGATGACCCTTGGGAAGCCCGCAAACGCCCCTTGGCAGTGTCCTGTTGGAGATTACGGGAAGTGGAGCGAATATTGCAGACCTTGGGCCGAATCCCGGACGGACCGAGAGCATAGCCCTTCGGTCGACAGTGATAGTTGGGACTGGATTATTGCCGCCGTCGAAACCCCAGAGAGACGGGAGAAGCTGAAACCGCTTCGGCAGAGTCCCGGGGCGGATTCGACGCGCCACCCAGGTGGGCTCGACAGACCATCAAAGGCCCACGAAGTGATGACGATAAGGAGGGATCTTGGCGAGTTGGCCGGCTGGCCCGGGCCAGCATCCGCAGAGGCCATCGCTTTAGCTCGCGCGATCGAGGTGGCAATGGATGTCCTGATTGGTCCTAGCTCTGCGGACAAGAAGCTCGCCTGGTCTCTTCCGGCTTTCAAGTCTCCGGACGTGCCTGGGTTTCAGTCAATCGCCTTTCGGGTAGAGGCACAAGCAAATGGACGCTGGAAAATCTTCTCCGACGAGCTTGAAGCTGTGCTTTCGTTGTGGCTTTATTTCGTCCACAAACAGGAAAACAGCGTTGAAAGCAAGGAAGAAGAGCAGAATCAAATTGCCAAGGACGACGCGTGGTTGCGGACCAAGGGAACGCTAGCAAAACCTAGCCTCCGACTTCTAGGCTCACATACGACGGCTCTGTATAGAGATCTTCGGTGGTGGATGCCTGATGGTGCTGCCAGAGTCATCGAAGTTAACGAACTGGAAACTAACGACAGGATAATGGAGGTCGAGAGCCATCGAGTTGTCGGATTTGCGTCCAATGCCAGGGCTAACTCTTCGGATGTTGACATCTACCAGTACGAGCGGAAGTCCCCAGAATCCCCGCGTAGGGACGCCCACCTGGCCGTCGAATTATACAGTTCTTTGAAGACATTGTACGGCCAACACATGTTCACCGCTTTCATGTGGTCCGCGGCAAAGACGATGGGGAAGCCGATGAAAGACGGGG